CTGCCATAAAACGCATTTATTTCCGTTCTACCTAAATACATCAGCTCAGTAAACAGAATGTGGGTCACATCACGTGAAACGTGTCATTAGGGTTTACAGGGATCCCCCACAATGCTCCACTTCAGTCATGGGCCGATATATATATATATATATATATACGAAATATATACGGATGTTTGTGTACCATAGACTTGTTTTGTTTATATTTAAAGCTCATTATAATGACTAACCCTAAACTTCAAAACTTCAAAAACACAGATTTACATTATTTATGAGCCACTTTTCTTTTTGAGCGTGTGCCAAATGGAGCCGTATTTAGCTGACATCTGGGGACATTTCTCAATAAATCTGTGCCCAAACCTCTAACCAGCACCCATTTTAACTCGGGGCATTTTCTGAGGCCAGGTGTACTTTTACAGGCAATTATATTTTACCTTAAAGGTCATACAAATGCATGAAATGCTATACAGAATACCATGAGATATAGGAGCTGTAGTCTCACAGGGATTCAGGTTCGAGCCAGCACCATCATATCTCCTCTGCCGCCCTACTGTCCCATCAAAGCCCTGAAAACAGACAGACGGACAGACGGACAGTCGGACAGTGAGACAGACGGACAGACGGACAGACGGACAGTCGGACAGATGGACAGACGGACAGTCGGACAGACGGACAGACGGACAGTCGGACAGACAGAGAGACAGACAGTCAGACGGACGGACAGACGGACGGACAGACGGACAGTCGGACAGACAGACAGTCGGACAGTCAGACAGTGATACAGACGGACAGATGGACAGACGGACAGTCGGACAGTGGGACAGACGGACAGACGGACAGACGGACAGTCGGACAGTCAGACAGTGAGACAGTCGGACAGACGGACAGTCGGACAGTGAGACAGACGGACAGACGGACAGACGGACAGTCGGACAGATGGACAGACGGACAGTCGGACAGACGGACAGACGGACAGTCGGACAGACAGAGAGACAGACAGTCAGACGGACGGACAGACGGACGGACAGACGGACAGACGGACAGTCGGACAGACAGACAGACGGACAGTCAGACAGACGGACAGTCAGACAGACGGACGGACAGACAGTCGGACAGACGGACGGACAGACAGACAGTCGGACAGTCAGACAGACAGACAGACAGTCTGTGTGTGTGTGTGTGAGTGTGTGCGTGTGTGTGTGAGCACATTATACACAGAGAAATGAGTTCTGGCCGGTCTGCTGTGTAATTTCCACATCTAGGTTTTGTTTAGTCTGCTGGGTTTGTTCAGCGGATGTGTCTCTGTGGAAAGTTCTTCAGAGAAATACGGCAGCGCTCAATACCATCCATCCACCTTATAATTTTCAGTGTTGTGTGGATGGATGTTATGTGTGCAGCTCTTTCCCAAGTTTGCCCAGTGCAAAAGCTGCAGATCAAGATCATGCAGAAGCAAATGAAGAGAATTCATGACCAGCACGTCTGATAACAGACAGACAGACGTCTGATGAAGGAGATCTGATGCTGCTGAGCGCCCGCTGCATTTAGATGTTTAGTGTGACTCTCGTATCTTCAGCAACACGCCAGAGAGATCCACACTAACAGCCTTCAGAGATATGTGAGAGAGAGAGAGAGAGAGAGAGAGAGAGAGAGACAGAGTTCATGTGGTGCAGTGGTCTGATGTGGCCTCAGCTCTGGTATCCACCATCACAGCAGACACCACAAACAAACCCGTCAGACCACAGTGAGTGTGTGTGTGTGTGTTTGTGTGTGTGTTTTATATAAAAGCAGCTGTATAGATAGTTAGGGTATTTCTGAGCCGTATGTCTGCAAACTTCCGATAATTACAGTGCGTGTTTTTCTGTTTTTAGCTTGTAATGTTTTTAGCAGAATGGAGTCTCGGCTCTTGAGAGTCTGTGAACCGAACCTGATTCCCTCGATATCAACTCAATCCAATGCAATTCAAATGTGCTTTATTGGCATGACAGTAATGTATTGACAAAGCATTTATAATAGATTATCCACATTCAAGTTTACTCTGTTTAGGGTGTGATGCAAAATCAGTTTCAAGACAAACAATGTGCATGTTCTTATTCATCACCACTGTATTTAATGGGTTAAATATAATTTAAAAACAAATTGTATCTTAATAGGCCTTTTAATGAAATTCTTTGTTTTCTTCTGAAATGCATAGAAAAACGAAGTTCATCTTTGTCCCGGATTTTCTGATTAATCCTCATTATGCTGTGATATTCCTCTTGAACAAGGACATTTTTTGTTGTCCTGATGTCATATTTAAATGACTTACATCATGAAAGTCTGTATAATCGTGTTCAAACAGAGGTCAGATTCTCAGCCTCAGTATTTCATTATGCTATACTTGCATTGGCGTCATCAAATTCAGGATTTCAATTAGAAAAATCCTAGTAAATAACGTGATGTGGTGCAACGATATTTGATTTTATACTGATCTTTATCCTCATAACATGTTGAATGTAACAGTATTGACCCAAGGTATACTTGAAAGACAGATGGTTCAATTATGTTGAATTATTATTATTCTGCACAGCTGTAAGCACACATTCAGGATTGTGGGTAACACTTTAAGAAGGGTCAGTTCAGCAGTCATCTGGACACAGATGTGGAGGAGAGCAGACCTGTAGAAGATACTAGATGGTTTTATTGGCACTTCCAGGCACAAATGGCATCATTTTCCTCTCTTTGTGACACCGTGAACGCTGGAAATAAGATCAGTGTGTATGTAGTACCACATTACAAGTACAGCAAGTTACGTGATCAGATTAGTTTTCCCCAGTAACTACTGAAGTAACAGTACTTTTACATTTACAAATCATCTGAGTTACTTTTTCAAATAAGTAACAGTTACTTTATACATGCAATAATGTTGTTTCTTGCATTCTGCCCTATTAGTAATATTGCAATTTTGTAATTGTAAATGTGTAATTCACGTATTGTGTCTCCTATTCTAATGTCCTTTAACATATGTCAGAGGCTGCTGAGAGGATTCACAGAGCAAGGCTTTCATTGTATGGTGCAACAGATTGTTTATTATGACAATGAACTCTTGAATCTTGAACAAAGGCTTTAAGTTAGGTGTGAGCAGTACAGTATACGAGCAGAACCAAGACTCATCAGACTCCATCATCTGTGTGTGTGTCTCGGTCTCATAACCTTGCTCTGAGGACAAATGACCCATTATTCTGTGAGTCTCACTGTAGCCACTCACGCAAATAAACCCAAACTCAGTCTCTCGGTGTGTGTGTTTGCTTTCAGAGAATTTCGGAGATTGAACTCCCATTTCCGCTCAGTTAACAAAACCCGCTCATTATCCACATTCGGCCCGGCTCAAGAATCCAGGCGGCTTTCAGCACATTTACAGCCTCTTTATTCTCAATATATTTTACGGGGTCTCAGCGTGGCGTGTACAGAATATATATGTCACAGCCAGACTCAGTGCTGCGTGTCTGTGTGTCAAATGCCATGTATACACACAAAGCTTTTGTACATAGATCAGAAACACACACACACACACACAGGTCCTACATGATGAACTCAAAAACAAGATCCCCTGTATTTGAATATTTTTAATGAGGAATAGGATGGTGTTATAGTTCAGTCTTGTCTTCGGGTGTCTCCTCCTCTTTCTGCTTCTGTGGGAAAGAAAATAAACTCAGCTCCATCATCTGTGTGTGTGTCTCGGTCTCATAACCTTGCTCTGAGGACAAATGACCCATTATTCTGTGAGTCTCACTGTAGCCACTCACGCAAATAAACCCAAACTCAGTCTCTCGGTGTGTGTGTTTGCTTTCAGAGAATTTCGGAGATTGAACTCCCATTTCCGCTCAGTTAACAAAACCCGCTCATTATCCACATTCGGCCCGGCTCAAGAATCCAGGCGGCTTTCAGCACATTTACAGCCTCTTTATTCTCAATCACTGAGTTTACGGGGTCTCAGCGTGGCGTGTACAGAATATATATGTCACAGCCAGACTCAGTGCTGCGTGTCTGTGTGTCAAATGCCATGTATACACACAAAGCTTTTGTACATAGATCAGAAACACACACACACACACACAGGTCCTACATGATAATGTTGTTTCTTGCATTCTGCCCTATTAGTAATATTGCAATTTTGTAATTGTAAATGTGTAATTCACGTATTGTGTCTCCTATTCTAATGTCCTTTAACATATGTCAGAGGCTGCTGAGAGGATTCACAGAGCAAGGCTTTCATTGTATGGTGCAACAGATTGTTTATTATGACAATGAACTCTTGAATCTTGAACAAAGGCTTTAAGTTAGGTGTGAGCAGTACAGTATACGAGCAGAACCAAGACTCATCAGACTCCATCATCTGTGTGTGTGTCTCGGTCTCATAACCTTGCTCTGAGGACAAATGACCCATTATTCTGTGAGTCTCACTGTAGCCACTCACGCAAATAAACCCAAACTCAGTCTCTCGGTGTGTGTGTTTGCTTTCAGAGAATTTCGGAGATTGAACTCCCATTTCCGCTCAGTTAACAAAACCCGCTCATTATCCACATTCGGCCCGGCTCAAGAATCCAGGCGGCTTTCAGCACATTTACAGCCTCTTTATTCTCAATCACTGAGTTTACGGGGTCTCAGCGTGGCGTGTACAGAATATATATGTCACAGCCAGACTCAGTGCTGCGTGTCTGTGTGTCAAATGCCATGTATACACACAAAGCTTTTGTACAACACACACACACACACACACACACACACAGGTCCTACATGATGAACTCAAAAACAAGATCCCCTGTATTTGAATATTTTTAATGAGGAATAGGATGGTGTTATAGTTCAGTCTTGTCTTCGGGTGTCTCCTCCTCTTTCTGCTTCTGTGGGAAAGAAAATAAACTCAGTTTATAGACTGTCAGTATGTCGGTGTGTTAACAGCGCTCCTTCCGCTGGCCTCACCTGCAGTTCTCCATCCAGGAAGGAGTCACAGAAGTCCTGCA